CTCTTACTAAATTATGCTGAGAGTATCTACCATCTCTCTCTTTTGCTAGATTGTAATCTGTTCTAGGGACCATGTTTTAGCCAGCACCAAGTGTAGGTAGTACTTGGTCTACAATAGGTGCTTAATAAATGTTTGTTGAGTGTATGAATGGTTTAAAGTACTGTATTTTCCCTTGACTTCTACATCTCAAATACTAACGGTTAGTAAACAGCTATTCCATTTCTCTCCCATGGGCATCCTCTTCCCTACAGTCCAGGTAGCGCCAAACCCTAGTCGGTTACAGAGCACTGCTAGACAACAAGTGCATGAGCAGGCCTGCGACTGGGTGCTTGCAGTTCCCACAGACTGTGGGGCTCATTTCTAGGACAGTGGGCTGTCTCCTGCTTGCTTGAAGCCTTGCATACAACAACTGTATAGGACAAATAAGTCCCGCAAATGGAGTTCTACCATGTTGTCTTTCATTCAGTCATTCAACAATATTGATTGAGCATCTACTAAATCCAAGATATTTGGGGAGAAACAAAGGAATTACATACATTCTGCCTACTAAATGATGTGAGTCATTTACTGAAAGAACTATGAGATAACTATCGTCCTTACCCCCATTTTAACGATGATGGCAAAGCTTAGCACCCACAGCACAGTGTTACAGCGCCAGCCACATACACCAAGGCTGGCGGGTTCGAATCTAGCCCAGGCCAGCTAAACAACAATGACAACTGCAACAAAAAATAACCAGGCGCTGTGGCAGGCACCTGTAGTCCCAGCTACTTGGGAGGATAAGGCAAGAGAATTGCTTAAGCCCAAGACTTTGAGGTTGCTGTGAGCTATGACACCACGGCACTCTACCAAGGGCAACATAGTGAGACTCTGTCTCAAAATAAATAAATTAAATTAAAAAATAAAGATGATGACACAGAGAGGTCAATGAACTAACCCAGTGTCACACAGCTGGTAAGCAGCAGAGGATTCAAACTCAGGCATTTTGATTTAAGAACCCACACCTGGATGCTGGTGCCTGCCTCTCTGAGGGTAGTTCAAAGCCTAGAAACTTTGGTGGCAAGTTAGAGAAAGGGAGGAGGCCTCTCAGCTAGAAGGGGTGGGGAATGACAACTGGGATTTGATTTGTGGCACTCTAGAGCAGTGGTTCTCAACCTTCCTAATGCTGCAACCCTTTAATACAGTTCCTCATGTTATGGTGACCTCCAGCCATAAGAGTATTTTTGTTGCTACTTCATGAAAATAAATGAAAATAATTTTATGGTTGGGGGTCACCACAACATGAGGAACTATATTAAAGGGTCGCGGCATTAGGAGGCATTAGGAAGGTGGAGAACCACTGCTATAGACAAAACAGAGTCCCTGATGGGTTTTGGTCAGAGATAAGATCTGTGCACTAGGAAGATTTGTTTGCATTCTATCTACAAGATGAATTATAGCGAGAAGAAACTGGAATCAGGAAGACCAGTTAGAAAGTCCTTGCAATACTCTAAGCAAAAGGATTTTTTTGACCCAGGATAATGCTGGAGTAAAGTCATGGTCTTTGCTTTTTATTAACCTCAAAAGGTTAAGGATTTATACTCCCCCACCCCACTACCTTGGGGTCTTTGATCTATAACTTCTTTAAGCCTTATGAGTTTGATTTCCAGCCATGGTGCATGTCAGCTTCATTTGTCCTAAAATGACTGCCTTCCGCTTTCCACGCGCAGAGCAGTGGGTGGGAGAGGCTGGGCTGGGAGAGAAAGCACAGGAACAGAAGCTCAGCCAGCAGCTCCCTCGCCTAACATTTGGTCAAACAAATATGTCTTGCCCCTCACTATACCTTGTATGCTCTATAGCAGTATTTTTTAACATTTTTTTAAATCTCACAGCACATTTGAATCTATAGTTAACCTTTTGTGGTACACTTAAATTATATCGATTTTAAAAAAGAGTAAAAAATATATACTTACTCTGCTTTGAACTTCTTCTGAAAATAACTTAATGATCTTTAAAAAATTTTTTGCAGCACCTAAGTTGAAAATCACTGCTGTGTATTTTAGAAACTTTTCCCTCACTAACCTTTTCTCTACCTTGTAAATCCTGATTTTAAACTATTTTCCTACTATAACCACCTCCATCAGATTATAGAGCTGGCAGAGACTTGTGTGACCATCTGGCACAACTCTCTTATTTCACAAATAAAACTCAGAAGCCCTGAGAAGGAAGAGCACCTTGTTTCGGGCCGCATAGCCAGCAAGAGCTATGAGACCTCTTACTGTCCCTGGCCTGTTCCAGCTCCCACTGCAAATGAACAGTTTCTAGAATGACTCTGTGTTCCAGGTACAGGAATCCATGCTTCTGTATTAAGAGATAAAATGGTTTGTAGTTTCAGCGAGAAGGCCTACCTGCTCTGATCACTGTGCCTGCTGGAGCCTACCTAACAAGTCACCACATGGCATCTGCAGTGTCTCTGGGTGTCTTATCAGCAGTCTGTTCAAGAATGCCTGATTGTAAAGTCTGCCTGATTAACAATCTCTACCTGCTTAAATTCCGAGCTATTTGCTGTGAGATTAGGAGACAAGGGTTAGACTGGGGTCAGGGGCAATTTCTAATCACCATATGCCTGCTGGCAATTTCCACAAAGGTTCTACCATCACCTCGAACCCAGCATCCTTCCCTCCACTCCACACTGGTGCCCAGGTTTCCGGGTTCCACCATCCAGTGGCAGCCAGACTAAGACCCGTGGGCCATCTACAGTCCCTGTCGCTGATAGCAACAGCAGTCACCAAGTCACCGGGGATCTTTTTGTCTTTCTTTTGTAACACCTCTCATTTCTCCCCTTCCCACTCCTGTTAGGATTCTGCTTGGAATTCCATGTTGGGCTGTGAAGAGAGAGTTGGAAAGCTGCATGTAAATAGAAAAAAATCTGAGAAAGAGGGGGCCTAACCTCAGTTTGAAATCAAACCTTCAACTCAGTTTGAAATCTGCTTACTTTGCACCTATAGCACCATAGGATTCTCTTAAAATGTTACCTCAGAATGCAGAATTTGCCTGTATCTTTACTGTTTATGAGACTTTGGTTGTAAGAATCCATTCCGAGCTTCCAGCTGTGGCCCTCCGTGCACTCGCATAGCACAGCCTCTTTCTGCTGGCTCTTGAGGAGGGTAGTTTTGGGGCAGGACAGATTCAGCTGAGCTGCTCTCATCCTAAACTAGCCTGGATTCCACTAGACAGAGAGTGATCTGCATGAAGATAGCCTCTGAGAGCTTATCAGATGCAAGGCACAAGCCAGGTGCTGAAGGGATTGCTAAAAAAATACAAGAATCCTCACCTCAAAGAGTTACCCTGATTAAAATGGAAGCAGCAGCAGCAGCTAGCAACACATGACGAGAAATAAATTCCAGATCAGAACAATAAGTTTATTTACTAATTATAAATAAATAAAGTCATCTACTGTCAGGCACTTAGGTTCTGGATAAAGAGATACACGATAGAGTCTGACCGCAGTGGGGTTCACGGTCTGGAAGGGAAGACAGATAAGAAACGATTATAACCTACCTTGATAAGCCTTGTTATAATAGAAGTAAACCCAGGATACTTTGAAAACCTAAAGCAAGACTGAAATAACATTTATAATTGTATCTACAAATGACTGAGCTCGACTGTGTGCCAGGCACTGTGCTATGCACATTCTGTCTTTTTTCTCATTTTATTTTGGTTTTTTATTATTATTATTATTATTGTTTGGGATTCATTGAGTGTACAAAGAGTTAGGTTACAATGATTGCATTTGTTAGGTAAAGCCCCTCTTATAATTGTATCCCACCCTCCAGACGTGTGCCATACGCCGTGACTCCCCATCCTCCTCCCTCCTCGCCCCCTCCCCGCTCACTCATATTTTATTTCATTTTTTAGAGACAGGGTTTTGTTTTGTTGCCCAGGCTGGAATGTGAAGTCCAATCATAGTTCATCACAGCCTTGAACTCCTGGGCTCAAGCCATCCTTCCACCTCAACCTCCTAAGTAGCTGGGATTGCAGGCATGTGCCACCACACCTGGCTCATTTTCTTTTGTAGAGATGACATCTCGCTATGTTGCTTAGGCTGGTCTTGAGCTCTTGGCCTCAACCCATCCTCCATCATCAGCCTCTCAAAGTGCTCATTTTATTCCCCGGTTTTTTTTTTTTATTTATTTCTTATAGCATAACTGTGTACATTAATGTAATCATGGGGTACAGTGTGCTGTTTTCATACACATTTTGAAATACTCTCATCAAACTGGTTAACATAACCTTCATGTCATTCTCTTAGCTATTGAGTTAAAACGTTCATATTCTGCTTTTAGAAAGATTCACTTGTACCCTTGTAAGATAAACCATAGAGGTGACCCCACCAATCTCCCTCCCTCCTCCCAGTTTTTTCTTATTTTATCCTTACCGGTTTCTGGGCAGAAACTATTATTTCCAGGTTATTATTTCCAGGTATTTTTAGGTTAGGAATCTGAGGCTGAGAGAATAACTAGTCTGAGGTCTTGCTGGACATAACAAAAGGAACTAGAAGTCTGGCCCTGGTCTGCCTGATACCAGGGCCTGAGGACTGCTTTGTCTGGAGAAGGCCAAACAGAGCCCGAGGATGATGAGGAACAGCCATGCAGAGCTGGGCTCAGAGGGGAGGCCACAGGCACGGCACACAGAGAAACAGTGCAGGAAGGGCCTAGAAGAGACAGAGAACACGGACCACAGAGACACCAGTGGTGCTCTGAATGGCTGGAATGGTCCCAGAGGCCTTCACAGAGGACATGAGCTTTGAGGGAAAGCCCATAGAGCCCAGTGTCTCAGCACAGGAAGGAAGCAAGAAGAGGGTGCTGGGCCGTGGCTCTAGGTGAAAGATGAAGGGAGCAAAAGCAAGGGACCTTGAGTTTGGGGGGGCATTTTTATTTGATGTGGGAGGAGCAGAGTTGGCAGACACAGCAGAAGGTGAGGTGCAGCCACGCTGTCTAACCTGGCCTTTCCCCCTTCAGCCTATGCTCAACTGCAGCCACACCAGCTCCTGCCACAGCCATCATCAAAGCACCTGCAGCCCCAGTTTGTGATCCAGCCGCAGCCGCAGCAATCTCGGCCTGTGCTCCAAGCCCAGTCCCAGCCCCAGCTCGCCTCAGTCTCTCCCAGCGTGGCCCTGCAGCCCGGCTCAGAAGCCCATGCCATGCCACTTGGCCCAGTCACACCTGCCCTGCCACTGCAGTGCCCCACTGCCAATCTGCACAAGTCTGGCAGCAGTCAGCAGGGTCACGCTCCTACACCAGACCCTGGGCCTCAGAATGGACACCCTGAGGGTGTATCCCACACCCCTCCACGCAGGTTCCAGCACGCATCAGCTGTCATCTTGCAGCTACAGCCTGCTTCCCCAGTGGTGAGTAAGCTGATTCCAAGGTCCAGGGAGCAAATGGGGAGGCCACAGCTCAAGCAATCCCACAGGCCTTCCTGAGCTATGTTTCCTAATAGGCTGAGTGTTGAAGTCATCACTGGGTGTTCCAAGAAAGAAGAGGGCTCTCCCTAATTTGGGGGTGACTGAATCTTAAAATCCTTGCCTGCTACCATCTATGGGAAGAGGGGAAGCATCCAAAAATATAGAAGTGATTTATGAGAAGATCTTCTCTCTATCCTGTCTCTTATAGCCCCCGCAGTGCACCCCTGATGACTGGAAGGAAGTGGCACCTGGTGAGAAGAGTGTGCCTGAGACTCGGTCTGGCCCATCACCACATCATCAAGCCATTGTCACTGCCATGCCCACTGGCCTGCCTGTACCCAAGAACCCCAACATCCAGCAGTCCCCAGCTCACGGTATGAAGCATAGTAGGGCACTTAGGGCAGGGAGGAAGTCGACCTTACCTGCCATCCCTGGCACGTTTCACTTGGGCATGTAGAATGGGAGGGTAAACTACTGCAAACCCAAGGAGGCATCAAGGCTGCTGAGTGGTTGGAAGCAGAGGAAGAAGGGAGGCAAGGGATCAAGGACACAAAAAGGGAACCCAGGAGATAAGAGAGAAAAAGGGGAAAGGAGGAAAAGGAGAGTTGAAAGTTCTAGAACCAGACTGGAAGGCCTACCTGTCACTGGTGTCAGATGTATCTCCACATACATGTGCCAAGCTGAGAGCTGAGACAGGTGTCCAGTTGTCACAAGTCTCTGCTTCCTTTAGTATGAGAGAGAGTTTTTGAAATTGGAAATACAGCAAGATGACTACTATATCACAAATAAAAGGGAAATGCCTAGGGGGAGCTTGAAGGGGATTCAGCATGAGTTCAGCTTACAGACAGCATCTTTGCAGGAACTATGCTCAGCTCTGCAATCCCCATCTGTGTGTGAGGGCTCCATTACAAGTGGACTTCTCCATGGCTGGGGATTCATGAGACTCAGCTGGATCCCTTCACCCTGATGGGAGAGTCCCAGCAGTACCTCTGCCTTCTGCAGAGATGCATTTGCTCTCCTTTCCCTCTCTGCCAGTTTGCACAGCAATCTTGACCTAGATCTCAGTGACATTCTGCGCTGTGGACTGCCTACAAGGCAGGGAGGCAGTTCCAGTCACTATGCTAAGTGCATGCCGGGCATGGGGGTGGAGAGAACCGGGAGAAAAAGAGTTTGGGAATGGAAGGAAAATGAAAAGTAAAATACTTTGGAACAAAGAAGGGCAAAAAGGTTACAATTTATTCTACAAGGACTAGGGGATAGAATCAAGGGAAAGGAAAGCAAAAGAATATGAAGACAGAATACCAGAAAAATTAAAAGACAGAAAGGAGGTCATCCATTCTCTCTTTGCACATATGCAGTGATAAACAGTCCTCATTTTGAAAAGCAGCCCATTCCGCTGTAGAATTGCTCTAATTAGCAGAAGGTTGCTCTTCAAATTAAGCCCGAACCTGCTGTCCTGGAACTTGCCATCATTATTCTGTCTTGTGAATTGTGACAGTCCATCTCATGTAGTGTTTACACACAGTTGCCACGTCTCTTACTTCTCCCTCCCAATCAGGCTAAATATCTGAGACTTGTTTGCATTTTCTACCTATGGTATGTCAAGACCTCCATCCCCACCATCCTGGTCATGCGTATCTAGCCACATTATACCTTTTCATTAATTTTCTTAGCGTGTGATTGCCCAAATTAAGCGCATTAATTTCAAATATAAAAAGCCACTAGTCTCTACAAGCCTGTTTAAGGGGCAGGACTGTTTCCTAGACCCACGTGGTGTAGTAGGGAGGAAGTAAATTCACTGAACACCTGCTATGTGCCTAAGTCCTTTATTCATTCATGACACTCCTGAGAGATAAGTATTATCTCAGTAAGTATCTTCTGATAAGTATTATTCAGAAGAGGAAACAAAAGCTGGAAGGGACTCCAGGTCACACAGGTATTAAAGGGCAGCACCTGGATTCTGGCTCCTCGTATAGTAACCTGCCTTAGAACCTTCATCAGGGCAGTGCACCTAGGCCCTGCATTAATGCCTCTGCCCCCAGGGCAATGATGCTGTTGGTTCATGGACAATCACTTGAATTCCAGAGGGTCAGTTTTGCTTTGATTTCTGAGATTTCTTTATGATAGCATGAAACTGCTATCATGCTAGGTCTCCTCAGTCTCAAACTTATAAAATGTATAACTCGAACCAAGATATAATTAATGATATCAGTTATTTAACTGATTCACCAGTTGTCTGGTGAATTTAGTCACTAGTTCCAGCCTAGCATAAAAATAGTAATAGTTATATTCCCCCCATTTAACCCTGACAATAACCCTCTGAGGTAGGAACTTTTATTATCTCCATTTTAAAGGTAAGAAAACTGAGGCACAGAAAGAATAAGTGGTGGGGCAGGAATCTTTCATATCTGAATTATGTTATTTATTATACTAACTCCTCTGCTTAACTTTGCCACCTATAAATTAAATAGCATGTTTTCTTCATCTTTTACCAATTTGCTGATAGAAGTATTTGTAGAACCTGACTGAGGATTCATGCCATGTTTCCAGGTTGGTGGTAATCAACATTTTTTGTTCAAGTATTTGTTGTCTAACAACTTCTAAATGAACTGACATTTGCTTACCTTTCTCCTCCATAAAGCTCTTAAAAACTCTCTTCCTGAAATCTAATCAAGGTGATATGTGCATATACACATAATTGGGCATCCGCTCTTGAGGTCCTATCTCATGAGAGCATTAAGCTTTGCACAGCGGAAACAACTGTCAGCCACCCAAGACTTAAATATTGATCCATTTGTGTATGTTTGAATGCGTGTTCCACGCAAAGCAACCTGGGATGGGAGCTAATACATAGAGAGAGAAGGTTTATACTCTACCTTTAAGGAGCTTAAGTTCTGCTGGAAAAGATGAAAAATTAAACAGGAAAAAAATTATAACAAAAACTAAAATGCGATAAATGCCATAGATGGATTTTAGATAAATGCTTTAGAAGCTGGGAAGAGGGAAAAGTTACTGCCAATTAAAGAGTATCAAGATAGATTTCCGGGACGAAGTGACATAGTTTTAGGGCAGGGGTTGGCAAACTATAGCCCATGGACCCAAACCATCACATTGCCAGTGTTTGTACAACCTATAAACTAATAATCATTTTTACATTTAATTTAAAAAAAATCAAAAGAATACTATTTTGTGACACATAAAAATTATATGCACTGGCTCAGCACCTGTGGCTCAGTGGCTAAGGCGCCAGCCACATACACCTAA